GGAAGGAGCCGGCATGTGCAGACGTGGGTGGAGTTCCGCCTGACTGTCCTGCCTGGGCCAGGGCTGCAGGGAAGCTCACCCAGGGTGGGCCCTCAGATGACGTCTGGGTGGGGAGCACCCACGGGTCTGGGAGCGTGGGCCGGGGCGGGCTTCCCTCTCGCCGGTGCTGGCTCGGTGCTCTGCACTGTGGCTCCTTGGTTGAGTCAGTAACATTTTACAGCTGGGTGCAGAGGAAGAAGGGCCCTGCAGGCCGGGAGCTGGTGGCCCCCGAAGTGGCCTACTGGCAGTGGCGCATGGGAGCAGGGCAATCAGTGAGGACCTGAGGGGAAAGGGAAGGGGCCAGCAGCGGGGGAGCGGAAGTGCGGAGGGAAGGGAAGGCTCTCCAAAGGAATGTTAGACCTGGGACAAGTGACCTTTCCCCTCTGTCCAGTCAAGGAGGAGACTGGCCACAGGAGAGAAAGGAGCGGGGAGCGCATGGCAGGGGCCCACCGTGCCCTCACGAAGCACCGCAGGTAGGCAGCCAGAATGGATGCTCATGCTCACCATCAGGAGGGCAAGCGCCAGCCGACGTGCAGCAACTTGGCCCCTTTCAGTCGGGAACCCGTCCCCTGACCACTGGGTTCTGGGGGAGCTGACAGCCCTCAGCCCTCTGTGGCTCATGGGAACGAGTCCCACCGCCGCCTCCGTCCTCCTGGCTTCTCTGTCCGAGCTCCTCTCTTATGTAAGGACAGGGCGAGGGTGGATTCGAGCCTACTGACTGCATCTGAACTGGATCGTCTGCCACGACCCTATTTCCAAATACGGTCCCACTGACAGGTACTGGGGGTGAGGACCCCAACATCCGCCGTGGGACGCAATTCAGTACACAACAAAGGCGAGCCAGCAGCTTCGCGTGACAGCCTGGAGTGAGGAGGACAGGGAGAAGAGCAGCTGCCCTGGGCGCCGGCGGCGCCTGCGCTGGATCTTGTGCAAGGAAGCGGGAGCCACGGGACAGCCAGACCAACGTGAAGGGTGGGCTGCAGCAAAGCCCAAAGTCACTGAGGTCACGTACGTGGCAGGGGCAGAGGGAGGGGGCAGGTGCAATGAACTGGGGCTGGGAACGAAGAAAGTTGGACGTCGGGTTCGAGGCGGGAAGTGTCAGAGAGGTCTCAGGCTTCTCGCCCACGTGGCCTGATCTGGATGTCACTAACCACGGAAGGGAATACAGAGGGGCCGTGACCTTGGTCATGGAGGTCCCAGTGGGATCTGAGATGGTCAGGACTAGACAGAGATTCTGGTGATTTCTGAATGCTGGGGAGCCACTGTCGTCCAGGGAGCTCTGGCCTTTGAGAGCCTGGTGTGGGTCCCCCCTCCTGAGAAACTGGCACTAAGTGACTCCAGTCTGCTTCACCTGGTAACATGCTCTGTGTATCCATGTGTGTCCCTAACGTCACACTGTAAGCCTCAAATATATGCCACGAGATGTCTTTTTTAAAAAGTCATACTATTGGGTCGTCAGAAAAACCATGACATATTGTTCTATGTTTTTCTGTGCAAAAATGCATCATGACCTTTCTTTTAAAGAGTTATTTTATTTACTTATTTATTTATTTTGGAGAGGTTTTTGCTATAGAGCGCATGCTCTCACTAGACAGACAGACAGAGAGACAGAAAGCGAGAAACCGCCCCCCGGGGGGATGGCCATGCCGCAATCCCTTCTCCTCCGTTCTCCTCTCGGGATCTTGGGCACACATGCACACGCACCTGGCATAAGTTTTAAGCCACCGGGTCCGGGACATGAACCGCAGTCGACTATGTGGGAGTCCAGCGACATAGCCATTACGCTAACTGCTGGTCCCAACTTTATTTTTATTGATTGATTTACTTTTTAATTTGACCGGAGAGGGACACAGTGAGCGAGAGAGGGAAAGTGAGAAAGCAAGCCACCAGGTCTGGGACTCGAACTGCATCCAGTCATGTGGCAGTCCAATGCCCTTAACCACCACACCACCTGCTGGCCCCACGTCATGACTTTTCCAACCTAGTATTTCTGAAAGCCTATTGCCGCTACCCCTGTCCCACACTCCCAGGGACCATGGGTGGACAACCTCTGACAGGGAAGGGAGAGGACACCCTGGGGAACGCCAGCCCTGGGGAACTGTGGGAAAGAGCCAAGAAGCAGAGCTGGGGGGCAGGTGCGGGTCTGGGGCATGGAGGTGCCCGACAAACACTGACCGGCTCAGCAGTGGTTCCAGCTCCCCGTGAAGGCGCAGAGTTTACCACTTTGATTTGGTGATTTCAAACCTGAACACTGCAGACACGGTCGAAGCTGACCTTTCAAAATGCCATTCCACCATGAAGGATTTCTCTAGAAGATAAGAAGCCCGACAGTAGCCCACGTCGCTCAAGCGGGAATGGCCACAGCCAGGAGAGTCTTCCTCCTGGGAGGAACTGGCTTGAGCTCTGCGGGATACTAGGGCTCCTGGAATTTTGTAGACCTCATTTGTATAAAAATGGAACCATTTTAAACACAAGTGTGATGCTTATTTCTTTTTTTAAAAAAATTAGTTTAACTTTATTTATTTATTCATTTTAATTTGATCAGAGAGGGACAGAGTGAAAGAGAGAGAGAAAGTGAGAAAGCAAGCCACCAGGTCCAGGACTTGAACTGCAGTCAACCATGTGGGAGTCCTGCACCCCCAACCACCATGCCACCTGCCAGCTTCTTTCTGAGAGTCCCATGTGAAGCAGTGACTTCCTGGTGACATTCTGAATTGACCCTTCCCTGGGCGAGGCTGACTTGCAAGGTGTTTGGCTGCTGGCTGTTTCTGCTGTGGCTGGCACACAGGATGATTTCTTACTCATGGACGTTTGGAAGACGTTCTTTTTAATTATTGTGTTGGAGCCATATGGTGGCACAGTGGTAAAACAGTGCTCCATGAGGGTGATTCACATGGAAAGGTTCCAGGTTCGAGTCCGGAGTACTCCCTGAGTATGCCAGGCATGTGCATGCCCATGGTCTGGCCAGCTGAGATGGGGGCAACTACTGGGGCAGAGTGTCTCTGTCTCTGTCTCTCTTGCCTAGGCACTCATGGAAGGAATACGCTTTTGTGAAAAAAAAAAAAAAAAAAAACACTGTGTTCGTTGTAATGGTTTTGGTTTTACATGTGCTATGGATGACAGTCAGGAACCTGCACCTGGCCACAGTAGCCGACCCTGCTGGTGCTGCTGCCGAGCAGGTTGAGATACGTGGGAGGCCCAGGTTCAATCCCAGCCCACCCTAACAGACCAGGCTGAAGCAGAAGGGTCATAACATGGCAAGACACCCACACACAAAAAAGACCTTTCCTGCTGGCTGTAGGTTAACTTGTATTTGTTCAGGGTAAGAGGAAGAAAGGACAATGCCCTGGTCCCCAGATGCCCCTCTTGCTGGCCTGGCTCCAGGAGGCTTGCCGAGTTCGCACGCCTGAGTGGGTACACTGATTAAAATGACTCTCCGTCATTTGTCTTGTACTGCACAAACAGAATCGCACCTTGAAGGTTGGGAAGCACCAGGTTTTTATTTTCTGGTTTCGGTTTGTTTTGTTTTTAAGAATTATCCTATTTTTATTTAGTCATTCATTTATTTTAATTTGAGCAGAGAGAGAGAGAGGAAAAGTGAAAAGGCAAGCCACCAGGTCCGGGACTTGAACTGCAATGAGCCATGTGGAAGTGTCCAGCACCTTAACCACCAGCCACCTGCTGGCCCCTCTATTTTTAGTTTTTGCCATAGGGCTCATGCACTCACCAGAGAGAGACAGAGACAGAAAGTGAGAAATCATCCCCCCAGGGCAATGCCATGCCACAATCCCTTCCCCAGTCTCCTGTCAGCATTTTGGGTATACATGACCATGTGCCTGGTGTGATCTTCAAGCCACCAGGTCTGGGACTCGAACCATGCAGCCTGCCATGTGGGATACCATGCCTCAACTTCCACACCACCTGCTGGCCCAGAAAGTGCCAGGTTTTAAGGAAAATTCAGTGAGATGCAAAAATGTGCATTTAGCTCGTCACCATCTGCTCAGCCTCCTGCTTTGGTCTGGTACACGTGTGCGCCCTGCACCGACCCTGCACGTGTGCACCCTGCACCGTCCCTGCACGTGCGCGCCTTGCGAAGACCCTACACGTGAGCGCCCTGCACCGACCCTGCACGTGCGCGCCCCACACAACCCTCACACGTGCGCGACCCTACATGTGCGCGCCCTGCGCTGACCCTACACGTGAGCACCCTGCGCTGCCCTCACACGTGCGCGCCCCGCGACGTCCCTGAACGTGCGCACCCCGCGCCGCCCTCACACGTGGGCGACCCTACACGTGCGCGACCCTACACATGTACGCCCTGAGCCACCCTCGCACGTGAGCGCCCTGCACCGTCCGTGCACATGCACGTCCTGCACCGGACCTGCGCGCCCCGCGCCGCCCTCACACATGCGCGACCCTAAACGTGCGCGCCCTGCGCCGTCGCTGCGCGTGCGTGACCCACACCATCCTCACACGTGCGCTACCCTACACCTGGGCGTCCTGCGCCGCCCTCACACGTGCACGCCCTGTGCTGTCCCTGCACGTGCACGCCCTGCACCGTCACTCTGCATACATCTCACAGCTGGAGAGTGATCATGAAAATTAGATTACACATAGTTGTCCCTAATAAAGAAAAACGTTCCATTTGCTCTTTAACTGTGGCTTCCAAGCAGGCCAGCTCTCCACAAGCTTAGCCAAGGACCAAGGATGAACGGGGTGAACTGGCACCCTCGGTGCTCCGGGCCCTGTGTGGTCTCACCAACCTCAGTTACCCGTATTCTTGCCACCTTCCCCAAAGCAGACAGTCACGGGCAATAGAATGAATGGGCCAGGCCTCGGTGGTTTCAATAAACAGAAATGCCGTTCCTCTGAACGTGAGTCACACCTGGCCTCATGTGCAGGGAAATGCATCATCGCTACTTTGCCGTTGTGTGGGCTCATGGTGTGGCCTGCCACAAACCCCGATGCACAGCTACCGCACGCTGAGGCCGTGTGGACAGCCCCTGCTAAGGACGAGCGCTGTGCACGTGGTCCCTTGTGACCAAATATCGCCCGCAGCCATGAGTGGAGAGCACTCTGCTGGGGTGGGAAGCCCCGGAGGGCGACATTAGACACACGGGACTCTTGGAAGGTCAGGCAGACCAAACACCCTCGAAGGAAATGGCAGCAGGGGCTGGGAGGGGTGCAGTGGGAAGTGACATGGAGGGCTGACCCTCATCGGGAGGTTCCCGGTTTGCATCTGGAGGCCTCCCTGGCTACGCCAGCAACACCAGGCCCGTGGTCCAGGCCAACTGAGGCTGAAGGTGGACTGCCGCACGAGAACCCTGCTGAGGATTCCGTCTCTTTCTCTCCCCTTCTCTCTTTCTCTCACCCCTTCTCTCTGCCTTTCTCGCTCTCTCTCTGTCTCTCTTGCTCATAGAAGGAATAAATAAACTTTGTAAAAAGTACTGCTGTAAAAGAATGAATAGGCCGGTTAGCAGACGCAGAACCAACAGTGCGGGTGTGACTCAAACACAATGAAGGGGAAAGCCCGCAGGCCCAGGAGAGTCGAGACCACACGAAGCCACTTATTTGACATTCAGAGACAGACAATGTCTGTTCTGTGCTGAACGTGGTTCGCTGGGGGCAGAGGACTTCGCCTGGATGTGGCCACCAGTGAAGGCTCTGGGAGACGCGCAGTTCCATGTCCTGAACTGGGTGTTGTCACGCAGACTATGCAAACGTGACATCCTCGAACAGCAAGCTGAAATCTGGGTGTCACTGTACACTAGGGAACTTGAAAAACTTGTGGAAGAAATGGAACTAAGGCATGAGTTTATTTTGATGCAAAAAAATTGCTGTGAGCCAGCCTGTGGGGTGGGGGTTAAAGTGGCTGGATCCCATGTGGTCAACTGCAAGGTTCAAATCCCACCACGCCTGGTGGCTTGAAAAACACGCAGGGCATGCTCAGAATCCTGAGAAAAAATGGAAGAGAAGGGATTGTGGCATGACCGTCCCCCGGGGGTGCTATCTCACTTTCTCTCAGTCTCTCTCTCTTTCTCCAGTGAGTGCAAAAGCCCTATGGCAAAAATTAGAAGGAAAAAAAAGTTGAAATCCATGTATCATTTTTTCATAATATGCATTTTTCATGAACTTTTCGAAGGCCCTGTTGGGTAAATTGGCCCTCAATAAAGTCTTGGGAAAAAGAAAGTCAGTAGGTGACAACCCTGGGAAGGATCGTGAGGTCCTTACCTTCTCTGCGTGGACTCATTCCTCAGCGAAGCATCTTGGATGGTATTACAGAGGCGCTCTGGGCGCAGCAGATGCTGCACGCTCTCGTTCACTTCTCTTTCAGCTAACTAAGAAGCCGATAACTTTTTAAAAACATAAGAACAGTCTTCAGCTCTTTGGGAGAGGGAAGGGAACTATTGGAGGAGGACGAAGACTGTAAAATGCTTCTTGCGCTACTCA